ATTGGTGATCTTAGGCTTTCAAGTAATATTTCATTATGAATTTGATATGTAAAATACGATATATGAAATTTGTAATACCCAGGATGACCTTCTGAAGGCATTCAGGCTTTTTGTGCCAAAAAGTCCTTTTATATACTACTACTAGTTTGTAAAGATTTTATAAAAATGTAAAATCTATTATTTTATTTTATTATTAAAAAATAACTCTATTTCATTAAAACAGACATCTAAAAGTTCTAAAAAAAAGTATTTTTCGAGTTTTAAACTTACTTTTAACAGTATTAACAGAATTTTTTTTTATCAATATATCTTCTCAAAAATTACAATACCATCACTTAAAAAATGCATGCAATGTAAAATTAACTTTTAGTAAAAATTTTCTCTAAGATACTTAAAACATTGTTCAGCGACCTATTGTTACTATATTTTAACAACTATAAATTACTTAAATAATTCAAACTTAACGAACTTCTTAGTCAAATATACATTTTAAAAGATACTATAAAAGTAATAACTAGAATTCATTGAAAAAAAGATAAATTAATTAAACAAATATACATATTATTAGATAAAGAGGTTTTAAATATTTATCATCTTCTTAAAATAATAGTATATCCAAAAGGCATTTATGTTAGACAAATTCTTTTATTTTATATCTAAAAAAAACATATGAATTTATTAAAACTGAACTTTATAAATAAGAATTATTAGCTATTACTATTCAAAGTAAAAAAATTTCTTGAAAAAGAAAATAAGCAATTTAAAAAGTCATTACTAAAATAACTATACAAATCTATTTATTAACTCTGAAAGTAGCTAAAGCTAAATGTTTAAAATTAAACAAACTTCAAAAAATTCAGGCTATTATTCAAATACTAATAAAATAATATCAAATAACTTTTAAAAAATAGTAAAACAAATTTTTAAATCAGATAAAAAAGAGTATTTATTATAATATTAAACTTACAACTGAAATTAGTAATAAAAGTAATAATATTATTAATTCAACTGTTGAAAAATACTAAAGATATAATTGAATTTTTAACTGAAAAAATATTTACCAAATGAATTTTTTCTAGTACTTTAACAAAATGAAATAAAGAAGTGACACAAATAAATTTTCAAGAAAATCGACCAAAAGATATAAGCTTACAATTTTATGGATATGAAATAATGATAGATAAAAATACTCATAAAGAAAAGAGATTTTGATTGTTTGTACTGTATATTGAAATTAAGAAAAAATAAACCATCAGTAATTGTATTAAAATAGAGGATATGATTTATTATAATAGAATAAGTGTTACAATAGCTGTTTTGAATGCTTGTCATAAAATTCAATTAGATCTAATTTTATGTTATAGATAATACAGCATATATATATCAGCAGAAAAAGGAGATGCAATAATGTGTTTCAATATAATAGCAGCTGCAGATTCTTTTCATATTCCTTGTGGATTACATGTTACTTAAATTATATTAATAAACTTTGAAAATATTGCATTTGAAAACTTAAATTACTATCAGGGTTATCATTAAAAATATTCATATAATTTAATAAATCTAGCTTTCTATCTTTATGATAGATAAAATAAAAATAATAAAGATAATTCTTTAAATATGAAAGCAAATGTAAACTGTCAACTTTACAAAGAACTTTTAAATTATGATCTAACAAAATATTAATCACTAATTAAAATAAGATGATTATATAAATTAAAAACAGCAAAACAGTAATGACATGCAGCTCATTTTTTATTTACTCAATTGTTATCAAAACATTAAGCATTATTAAAAAAAGTATCACAAAGATATATTGAAAAATAGAAAATATTCTATTCATGATTAAATAATACAAAACTTAATCTTCAATTGCATTGTCTTGTTAAAAGTTTTTTTGAACTTATTTATGAATTTCTTATCAGTTATGATTTAGTACCACAAGTTTATAATTTAGATGATAAAATAGTAACTTTTCTACCTGGTAATCACACCTGTGAGATAGCTAATAAAGTAATAGTATGGATGGCTAACTCCAAAATGCTGCAGAAATCACATCTGAAATATTTCAAGAAGAATTAGTTAAAGATAGTGTATTTTTGAATTCAGAAGATATAATTGAACTTTATGAAGCTCTTAAAACAGGGGTTAACCAAGCTTTAAATGGATTTCTCAAATGGATGTTAACTATGGATTCATTTACCTTTGAGTATTTGTCAATTAGGAGGCAATTATGGTCAAGAATTTGCTCATGCCTTTTATATGTTTTTTTCTCAAAATGATATTCTAATATTATACCATGTAAAAGTTCTTATATAGAATTTTTGAAAGAAGATTTACAAAATAAAATTATTAATACTTTTGGGTTAATGAAAGCACTTCAAGAACCAAACTTTTTGCAAGAATTTGAGGAATTTTCCAACTCAGACTCCAATGAATATTGGAAATTTCCCATGGTATATACCTTTATTAAATATCGAATTTGGCCAATTGTTGTTCACCAGCAGCAATTGAAGGGTATGTTTTACCGATATGACATTAAAGTGCACGCAAATATGAGCAAAGAATTACAAGAATCAAGAATTATTCCTGGTAATGAAAGTGTAGAAATTACACAAGAAAAACTTCGAAAAGTCCACCAAAAATGAAAGATCAATGTCAAGGAAGGAAATGGCAAATGCTATTTTAAGTTCTTTTTATCACGTTAAACGTGAAAATTTACTATTTTCTTTATACTATATAGTAAATTATTTGAATTGAAAGATTGATAAAATTTTTTTGTGTAACGTGTCGATATAAATTTAATGATCGACAAAAAAATCCTCAATTAGTGATCTACAATAGAGGGTTACACTATATTTGCGTTTAGACCGATATCGCATACCCCGATGATAGATCATTAGTGTGAAAAAATGTGAATTTAATTTTAGTTATCCATAATTTTTATTATTTTAAAAGGTATTAATTTAATTTATTAATTGAAAGTGTTTAAATATATTATGTAAAATGTATTTTGCTTTTCTATTTTTTTTTTTAAAAAAAATAAAAAAAAATTCTTTGCAAATTGCGTGATTATTTCAATTGTTTTAATGTTAAATCTGGCTAATAAATTACATAAAAATATGTTATTTGAACATTGTAAAACCCATCAGGTCGATGGTGAATTTTTTTTAAAAAAATTAAAAAAAATTTTTTTTCGTTTGATTGGTTTGATTGGTTTGATGTTAAAAAGATTTCTCCAATAAAGCGTGACAAAGATCTGTTTAGGATCCAACTCTTCCCTGATATCCATCCACTCCTTGAATTTAGGGTACAAAGATGGGATTCTCTTGTTATAATATTCAGGTTTATACTTGCCCCAATGGCAACGGAAAGTGTGCTTCTTCAGAATTTTCCAATAGTAATTATAATGCTCTTCTGGAGTGCCGCATGGATCTCCAAGATTATAAGTAAAATCAAAGCGTACCGAATCTGTTTCATAACTTGGGTTAAGCCAGAATGGGCTTTTCTTTGCGCAATAAATTTCTACAAACATGTTGCCAATGGATTCAGGATTATTCTTGAAAAGTTGTTGCAGATCATTCATTACCTCCTTGGATTTGTCAAGCGGTAACCAAAACTCTGAAAAAGCGACTGGTAAAATTTTAGAGTCAAGCTTATCATCCATGGGTAAACCACTCCACCAAATATCCTGGAAACTTTGGGATCCGATCGGGTTGAAGGCAGCATACAGGAATACTGCGATCTTTTTAAACACCTTGTTTGGAGATTGGGCAAGGTTCAATACTTTAAGAATCAGGCTGGCGGCTAATTGTGCCGGAACCTGGCTATTTAATACCTCTGGAAATAACTCGTAAGGGTTAACCGGCAAATCCGTACCATCTACCGTTAGAATCTTTTTCGCCTTCCATATGGTCAAACGATCGACACCATCCTGAGGCCACCAGAGGATTCGATTGAATTCGGCATCAAAATCCATGCTATTGGAAAAGAAATCAAGAAGGCTCGGAATTTGTTGATCTTTATCACCATCCCCAAACATATCAATCGGAGCACCGACATTAATGTCCCGCGATAAAGGCTTGATTGGGGATATCGTCTGAGTACCAGTGATGAAGAATTTCTTATCCAACTTGAAGGTAACTTTTGTAATTATTCCCATGAGACCCATTGAAACACCGACAGCCAAGAACTTGGAATTGTCGGTATCCGACATCTTGAGGTCGTGAATTTTACCGGTACCGTCGATGATTCGTATACCAATGATCGACTCAAAAAGGCTATGAATCACGCTACCGCCTGATGAACCCGTTGAAATGAAACCACCAACAGTTTGATGAATGATGCCGCCGGTGTCTGGTAACGAATAACCGCGCTGATTCAATTGGTAAAGTAGACCATTCTCGATGGTCGAGTCTTCATTTTCAAGATCTTGCCCAAGGTTAGTACCGGCTAAAGCAGTGGCGATTTGTTCTGCATCATTTATGACCACACCTCGGAATTTTGTTAGGGAGATTAATTTAGCTTTCACGTTTTTTGGGATATCTCTCGCGGTTAAAATCGCTGAAGGTAAAGAATGTGAAGCTCCAATGACTCGAACGATGGTTGGCTCTTTATCATTGTAAGCATCTTGTATGATCTTTTGAATTTCTTCCTCATTTTTTGGTTCCAAACGTTCGACTGAAGGAGGAATATGCAAATCTTTGAAACGTTGTTCTCTGGTTTCCATAGGCTTGGTAATTTTCCCAAGAAATTCATCAATTTCCTTAAGGATTGAACCTTTTTCATCCTTTTGATGATCTTCAAATTGATTAAGGGTATCAATTTTCTGTTTTATGGTATCCAAGGGATTCATGGTGAAAAAATTTGATATTTTGTTTTTTGTTACTGTGTGAATTTATAAAGGAAATACCATGACAATAAAGGAGTCATTATTTCAATAAATGAATTATTGATCTTATTGGTAAATCAATAAGTAACTCCGACAATAATTTTAAAATAAGTTATTTTATTCCATTAATGTTAATGGTTTAACAAAAAGTTATTTTTGTATACTTAATACAGTTTAGGAAATATACATAAATACTTTGTTTCTATTAAATAGATCATCTTTTTTCCGTGATATAAATAGCCATGTGAATAAAAGGCATGATCATCCAACCGGATTTATTTGCCGGGTTACATATACTTATTAGGGGTAACATATAATTTGTGACAATTAGCACTTTTTATCAATAAAAAAATTTCTCTGTCCCAGAATACTTAGTAAATTGAAGAACGAGCTGGGATGTGACCATTTTTTCTGTTCGTCTGATCGTCCTGCTATATTTAACGAAGCACAAGAAAATCATCGATTCATCAAGTGTTGGCAATTTGAATGGTTATCGTATATTTGGGCAAATAATTAATCAATCAAAATTAAGTAATTTTATTCTAATTTTACAAGAATTTTCGCAATACATGCTTTTATTAAATAGATAAATCAATATATATATATATAAATAAAGTTTGTAATATACAAAATATCTTATCCCTTTATAATATTACATGTATTCAAAGATATCATGGTAATTAAAGAAAATAGATAAAGTCAAAACAACAAAAATACATACACTACCAAATATCCTACTTTTATTGATCATGGATGATATATTCAGTAATGAAGCATCTTCATCCTTATAAAAATCAACATTTTCTACAAATAATACATTCCTTTTACCTATTATATAGGAAGCCAAAAAGAAAAAAATTATGATTAGATACAAATTATTCAAAATATTACAAGAATACTTCCCAACAAGCAGTTCTTTTAATAAATATTTGTTCCACGCTTCTTCTTATTGAAATTAATACTCAATTTAGGATTAACAGCAAACATTTTCATCATCTTCAAAATTATTGATGTTACCTTCTATATAAATTTGATGTACACCATAATCAAAAGTCCCCATTTCCTTCTCATAAACTCCTTTATTCGAGGCTGCAATGTCATGCCAATATAATATTCGTTGATTATTTTTGTCCCAAATCCATTTACCACTACTAACTTTAACCATAAAATCATTCTCATTATCAAAATGATATCTTGGTAAATAGATTTCAGTAGGAAATTCTTTTGGTGGATCATTATACGCGTTACGATATGAATAAGAAAAATTTTTTGTCCATGGATCAAATTTTAAACTCAACGGTTCACCATATGTTTTCAATGGAAATGGACGAAGTAAACTAAATAACGCCCTACCACCGAGATCAAGGTCTTCGTTATAATTTTTTGTTGTAAGAGGATCAGTTAAATCGGTCGTATAAATTGACAAATCTTCCCCATTCCATTGATCTCCCCATTGATGATTATTATCATCACAATAATTCCACAAGGTATAAGAGAGTAAATTGGCTTCTAGAGCGGTAAAGTTGGCATCCATGGCTTTGATTTGTTGAATATAATTTCCCGTTTTGTAAGCTTTTCCTTCTTCCATATCGAAAGGTATTCCGATCTCACCAATTAAGCATGGTATATTATTTAATTCTCTCTCCCCTTCACTTTTAATTAATTTCAACTGCTCAGCAAAACTTTGCTTAATCGCATCCTCTCCTACTTTAATCGCGGGCAAGTAACCAAAATATAAACCTCTTTTAATGCCCAAGTAGTCAATGTTCCACCAATTAAATTGTTTTTGTACTAAAGTTAATCCGTCATACCAATGTGGTGCATAAATTAATCTTTCTTGTGGGTCTTCTGAATCATCGAATTTAGGCGGAACCTCAAGCACGGGTGGTTGTACGAATATTATAGCATTAGGTTGAATCGAACGCAAGGCGGAAGTATATTTTCTTATAAATGGTTTAAAACATTCTTCAATCCAATTTTGTGGTTGATTCGTAATTGGATTTACAGCAAAATAATCTGGACGTAAAAGTTTTTTGGTAGATTTATCCCACACTCCATGTGCTGCCCATATGCATTCACCTCGTGGAAATTCATTGGATTTCCTCCAACTATATCCTTCAGGATCCTTTTCTAACCAAGCCGCCTTTCCTTTTGGATCAATATATTCACTTCCTGTTTTACCAAATCCATACCAACGTATGTCCCATGATTCTACCTTACATGGATTTCCTTCTCCCAATAACATTGATTGAAATGGTGTCGGGGTAATTCCTCTTCTATATTCTTGAAATTCTGGAAATTTATTTAAATCCTTTGTTCCGACCCATCCCCAACTTGGTTCGTTCATTGTGTCATATCCAACTACAACATTATCCGCCAAATTTGCTTCCACTATTCTTTCCGCTAATGCCTTATATGAATTACAGAAATGCGTTTGCAAATATTCTTGTATGTTCATGTCATCAACTATACATTTTGGTGCAAATATGCTTCCCGCGTAAAATAATGTAAACATTGTTGACGCGGCTAATTTATAATAATTTGTTGACCAGATCATTTTAGGAAATTCCTTTGGTTTATCAAATGTATTATGCACTATTGCTGCTGCTGTTTCTGAAAAATTCATCATGTTGAGTCCGGCTAATTCAAGAGTCCATCCTGGGGCTCCTGATCCACCAGAAAATCTGCTCCACTAATAAATCGAAGGGAAAAAGAAAAGGAAATGTAAGCAAATGAAATATCAGAATCATTCCCAAAAAGATTCCTGCCTAAAAGAAAAAAAAAAAAAAAAAAACTAACCACGTCTTGATGAGGATCAATGAAACATTTAAACCCGTATTCTTTGGCTTTATGTAGGATTTTTATAATGTAATCAAAAAATTCAAAATCATATTTACCGGGTCCTTCATGTTCAATTGCTTCCCATGTTATAATGAATCTAAGGAAATTAAAACCCCATTGTCTTAGTCGTTGAAAATGTTTGTCAGCATCTTCTAACGGAAAGGGTCTCCCTATGAAACTGGCTTCTCTGTGATTATAAAAATCTTTTCGTTGATGTGAAGGAATTTTTGAAGGATACGAAGGATTTTTTGAAGCACCCGACAAATTTATTCCCCTTAATAATATTGTTCTATATGAACTATCTTTGATATATTTGCCTTTTATATGAAGTATATCATTTTCTATATTTATTGTTGCTATTGAAGAAGAAGTTAATGTTGAATGTGCTGTTATAGTGGTTTCAGAATTAAATCCGATCGAATCCTTTCTAATCATTTTTTACCTTAAATTTTCGAAAGGGGGATTTCTTTTGATAAAAAAATTGGGGAAAAGGAATATGATTTTTCTCTAATAAAAAAAAAAAAGGGAACGTTTTATATTTTATTTCGGCTCATTTGAAACTAAACCATTTTAAAAATAATTTTATGTAAATCAAAGATTCAGGATAACTTAAGGGGATTATGATGGTATTACGAATTCGAAACCTTGGCAAAACAAAGACGCGGCGTAAAAATTGAATTTCCCGAATCTGGAACTGATACTAAAATTTCATGCTTGTATGAAACGGGATTTTAAGCGGTGAATAAATTTGGTAACAATATGCAGTGTTTACGTATCACAGGTATTACAATAATGTTTATCTAATTTAAGTTTGAAGATTTTTACCCAACTTATTTTTTTAAACAAAAAAAAAAATGAATTTTTTTACGGCATTATTTTTCTTAACAATTTTTGCTAATCATGTACAAGGTAATGTTACTTTATTTCATTTTTTGTTTTTAATTAATTCTGTTTTTGCTCATTTCATTTATAAATTAATGGTATATTAAAAGAAAAAATTTTTTAATACACTACAATTACCCATTAGGAACGTATAGACCCGTTGTATTATGGCACGGAATGGGTGATAATTGTTGTGATGATGAAAGTATGGGAAAAGTTCAACAAGTGATTAAAGATGCGTTACCTGGTATATATACATATTCTATCATGTTGGGTGATAATGAACGTGAAGATAAAAAGTTCAGTTTCTTTGGTAATATTAATGATCAGGTACGGAATCTAACTTGAATTATTTGATTTAAAAGATATTAATTGAAAATTTTTGTTATATTTTATTTTATTTTTATTTATTTATTATTTTTTTTTTTTTGTGATGATTAGTTGATAAAAGTTTGCGATCTTTTAAAAATTGATGAAAACTTAAAATATGGATTTGACGCTATCGGATTCTCTCAGGTAAAGTATATATATTTTAAACTTGAAGAAAAGTCGTCATTTATTTGATTAATTTTCTCTTACTGATGTAGGGAGGCCAATTCCTTCGGTATAAGTTCACAATTTAACATTTTAATCGCAAAAACTTACGCGAAGTTAACTTAATACTTTTCCTCTGGTTTAGCGCGTATGTACAACGATGTAATGATCCCCCGGTACACAATTTAATTACATTTGGATCACAACATTCTGGTATATCAGATTTGCCAGGTTGTGAAAAGGGTGATGGGTTATGTCAATTAATGAGAACAATTGCACGTCGTGGAGTTTATTCAAATTATGTTCGTACTCACATTATCCAAGCTCAATATTATAAAGATCCAAAAATTTTAGATATTTACTTGGAAAAAAATATTTTTTTACCCGACATCAATAATGAGCTTTTTAAGAATGAAACGTACAAAACAAACTTGCAATCTTTGAACAAATTAGTTTTGATTAGATTCACCGAAGATAAAACCGTCGTACCTAAAGATAGCGCGGTATGTGTCATAAGGAGAGATATGGGGGTGGTCAATAGAAAAGGGGGAAATCTACAAATTTTGAGTAATTTTAGTTATTAAGCTAGTTTTGTTCACATGAGCTTGATCAGCAGAGTGAACCAATTGACTAAAATGTGAATTTCACCCTTTTTCTACTGACCGCCTCCCTAATGAGAAATTAGTAAGAAAGTTTTTTTCCTAAAATATTTTAATTCAATTTTTTTGTAGTGGTTCTCTTTTTATAATTCAGAGGGGGAATTATTGGACCTTTTCCATCAACCTATTTATACTGAAGATTGGATAGGTTTAAAATCTTTATACGAAAATGGTAAACTGGAATTTAAAGATTGTGAAGGTGCTCATGTAAGTGTGATAGAGATTTTGTTAGGAGAAAATTCTCCCTTGAGAGGAAATGAGCTTAACTTTTGTCTTGATTTTGTAGATGCAAATACCATTAGAATATCTTATCCAGCAGGTTATTCCTTATTTGGGTTCTGATATTGGTGATGAAGAAGATTATCGAGATAATATTTTAATAGAACAAAATAATAATGATGGAAATACGAGATTATCATTAAATATTCAAATTTAACTTTACAAATTAGTATAAAGGATTGGGATTGGTTTTGTAAATTTAAAGGGTTCAGGTTTAATTAATTAATTATTTTATTGTAATACTTTTTAATAAAAATTGTTATGATGTATTGTAATTGAATGATCCGGTTCAAATTTTCTGATTTGGATACAATATGAAAAATATTATCACGTTCACTGATATCGTAATAAATTGATAGTTCAAAGCAATTTATAAAGCAGAATATTCCGAAAATTAATATTACAGAAAAATGAATATTTTTTACGTGAACTTCATGCTCCTTTATAATAAATCGCCTCACATAATTATTGTGTAAGAAAGTTCGGTATGAGAATTATTCTTGGCACGACATAATAAATATTATGACGATTGACCCGATCGCTAAAAAAATATTGGTCACGTGCGTTTCTTCTCAATAATAAAATAAAAAGAAAATTAAAACTTGCGGACATAAAATTATTTGCTGATCATTAAAATGAAGAAGTAGACTACAGCATTTATTACGTGTGTAAATGACCAAGTAATGATCAAAGTTAATGATCAAATGACTCATAAATATATATATATATATAAATATTCCTTTCTACGTGAATTTTGATTTTAAAACTTAAAACTTTTCTCTAATATTAAAACATTATGTTTTTCTCTAGAATTTCTAACAATATGGTTCGTCGCAACATCACTGGTAAATGATTTATTTATCTATGTTTTTGCTATTCTGTATTCGAAATAACGTGTTTTTTTTTTTTTTTTTTTATATACACACAAATGTATCTGCGAACCTCAGTTATGTTCGTCGTAATCGTAGCGATTATTTATTAAAAGAGTTTAAAGAAGAATTTAAAGACTTTAAATATTCAATTTATAACAAACTTAACGACTTAGATTCGAAAATTAGAGAAGTGGATTCGAAAGTTGTACACGTGGATTCGAAAGTTAAAGAAGTGGAATATAAAATGAAACACTACGTCGCTGCAACTTTAATCGCAACAACTACATTCGGCTTGGGTATAAACTTGACCTTAAAACAATCAAAAAACAAGCTTCAAGAGTCTACTCAGGTGTCGAACATGACCGCTTAGCATTCGCCTCAAAAGAAAAAATAAGATCATCGCGCTAACATGATGACTTATCTATGAAATAGTAACTTCAATGCTTGGTAATCAAAAAGAAAATTATTTAGAATTGCTTTTAAAAATTTGGACTTGTGAAAAATGCCAATTAATTAATTAATGTATAATTTTAATAAACAAAAAAAAATCTTGCTATATATAAATTTAACATTTGATCAATAGTATATTTTATGTAAGGATTGACATATTTGTCCGCTTTAATGTCTTATTTTATATAATTCCTAATAGATGCTCCAGAATAAATTTATATTTAAAATTCTCATTACAAATGAAGACCGATACGTATAATGACTATATTTCGCTTAGACTTATTAGCATCATGGAAAGCGAGTAATAAATTGTTGGATTATTATTTTTTTTCCTAATGGTCCTCCTCAAGGAACTGAATTTGCCCAATAAATTGTCTTGCTATATAATAGTTAAAAGTTGAAGTGATGGAAGTAGTTGTTGAATACATCTCTGCATCAGCAAACCTTCGTGCCAAAAATTTGTAAAATGAACCACATAGTATTCATTACTACTCATGCAAAGACTTAATGAACTATTAGAAACTGGACAAAAGAACCCTCAAATATTTAAGTTTCTTAGGTGTACATTCTCTGAAGTTGAATATACTATACTATTAATAAAATCATAAAAGAAGAGGGGTGATGGGATGATAAATATTTGGAATTTAAAATTTACAGGAAATTACCAGTATTCTTTAAATAGTTATGCGTTAATCATTGTTGTGCGGCGAAAATAACTATTTGTTGCTCGCTCAAATAATTTTAGTATGTAAAATGGGAGCCATAATTATAATATTTATGATACTAACAATTATTGGTATTATTCTATGATATTGCAATGGCCTCAATGATGATTGCGGAGGTGTATAAACCGGTAAATGATAATGGATAAAATTGGAAAATGGATTTTAATTTTTAGTTGATCTTCGATAACAATCCTTGTCATACTTGAAACAAGAATTTGACTTCAAAATACGTTTTTAGTGTATTTGAAAGATCAAATTTGTTGATAAAAAAAGACATTTGCTTGGTTTTCTCTCCTCTATTTGTCGTTTCTGGGAGAAAGATTGGTTACGATCCTTCCTTCGTAACTGATGAATTTCTACACTATTGTGTCTCACTTCCTACCTTTATGCATTCTACCCAGTGTTGGCCAACTGGACCAAATTGGACTAACTGGACTTATAAAACTGGACCATTGGACTTATAATTTCCAGTAACTGGACTTATGGTCCTAGTCCAGTCAAAAATAACTGGACTTATAAAGGTGACCAACACTGATTCTATCTTATTCATTCTACTTCTATGCATCTTTACTTCTATGCACTTTTACTTTTATTACTCTATTTCTATTTTAATTTTACATTTTTACCTCAAACATATTTCTTACTCTAATATTTTTTTGCTTTCAGACAAAAAAAAAATTTAAATTAATTTACTTATATTAATTATTAATTTTAATAAGCATTAATAATTCATATTTTAATCAATTTAATCATTATAATTTAATTTATAAATAAAAGTTTATTTGAGTAATTACAAATTGTATTTTTTATAATATTTATTCTATATACAATGTTACTAAATAAATATTTTATAAAATTTATAATAATATGATATAATTATAAAAAAAAAAAATTAATATATTTATAAATATATTTTAATTATTTTTATCTATTATAAAAATAAATTAAGATAAATAAATTAAAATATATAGATCTAATTTTATATTTAAATTATTTACTTATTTTATCATTTGTAATATTTAAAGCTTCTATTAAATTAAAAAATATATATGTTAAATTAAAAAAATTATTAAAAAATATATATAAATATTATAATAATTACCAATACTTTTACTAATATTTGAACTTTTAATTTCAAGATCTAAAATTTCATTTAATCTTTCAGTAAAATTAAGTAAACGACTTGTATGAAATACTTGTGAATGATCTTTTATATTATTTAAATTATTATCTTGATTTTGTTCTAATATTTTATCTGCTTTATAAAAATCTATAATATTATTTTTTATATCAAAATCTTTTTTTTTGATATTTTTATACCAATGATCAATAATCTTTTTAATTTTTAATACAGTTGGCCTTTTTAATGAATCATTATCCCAACATTTTTCCATTAAATTTATATAACATTTAGGAGCATTTTTAATAATTTTAAGACGTTTACCTTTACAAATATCTAAACTAAGTTGAAAATCATAAGCTTCATTATTAAATGGAGTAACTCCTGATATTAATTCCCACATGATCATAGAAAAACTATATATATTACTAGCTAAAGTATAAGGTTGACGTCTTAAAACTTCAGGAGCTACAAATGGTAAAATACCATAAATATTATTTCTTTTAGATGTTTGAAAATAATCTACAGGTTTACATAATCCTAAATCACTAATAGATAAAATATTATTCCTAACATTTAAAATATTACCATGATGAAAATCACAATGAATAAGATTTTTTGATGTATTTTCTCAAGTCCACTAATAATATTATTTAATTGTAATAATTTAATAATCCATTTATCCTTAACTATATTTGGTAAATTTTTTCTTAAATTATTATTTTTTGCATATTTCATTATTACCATATAATCTAAAGTATTTGAATCTTGAGTAAATCCATATAATTGAATAAGATTTTCATCTGAATATTTTTTTAATTGATTATAACAATTATAATGATGTTTCCACTAAAATAAAAATAAATTTAAAAACTTATAATTTAAAATTAAATATTATTATAAATTTATACCTCATTTAAAAATTTTTCATTTATATTTGATGAATTATTAAAACTTTTAAGGATTACATTAATACTACCATTTCTAATCCATTTTTTCTCTTTATAAGAATAATATTCAATAAATCCATCAATCAAAATTGCTTTATATATAATACTAAATCCCCCTTTATCAAAGTATTCAATATTTTTAAATTTGTTATAAGGAATCCATTCTAATAATTGCTTTTTATTTTGGGCATTTATTTGAGTATTTTGAATAAATTTATCAATAAATTTATTTTTACTAGTCCAATTAAAAAAATTTTGTTGAAATAAATTAGAATAACATTCTTTATACCATTTATATCCAGTATTATTTTTATTACAATTTGGACAAACACCTTATTTTCTAAATAACAATTTTAAAGTATTAATATTATAATTATTATATTTAAATAAAAAATATAATACTTACTTAATAATTATATTTATTATTTAACAATATTTAAATTATATATATTTTATTAATAAAAATAAAAGTAACTTACCCCCTAATAAAATTTATTTTTTTTAATTAAATAAAAGTTTATTTGACTTTAAATTATAATAATGGGTATAATTAAATACTAATAATTAATAAAAATAACTTACAAGCTAATAAAATTTATTTTTTTTAAATAAAAAATTTAGTTGATTTTAAATTACAGCAGCAAGTATAATTAAATACTGATAATCAATAAAAATAACTTACTCCCTAATAAAATTTATTTTTTTAAATAAAAAATTTAGTTGA